GTACCATCAATATTGACGGAGTTATTCATGTTTAAAATTTTATATTAAATTATAATTATAAAAATCATATGACTATGATGTAATTTCGACCATTTCGACTTTAATTTCGACTTTTGACCTTCCCAAGTCGAAATATTTCTACTTTTGGGCTTTAATTTCGACTTCATATATATAATTAACCAATAGAATTTAAGAAAAAAGTAAGGTAAAAACTATTAGTAAAGGGCCAATTTTCTATAGTCCTGATAAATCTCCCAATATTGTAATTCTAGAACCAGAATCAAATCCAAATTTGGATAATAAAATATTGCATGTTGCTAAAATGTACAAGAAGGATTTTACAATAGAAGATCATTCTTTTCTAAATATTGTTGCAGATGAAGCAATATTTCGCCAGTTAATTAAATGTCAAGAAAAATGGCTATATATATATAAGGTCTTTTTTAGGTCAATGGTATATGTCAAAAGACTTTTGTTTAGTATTATTAATTTTATTCTTTAGTTATGAATTATTAAGTCTAGCATCCCGCTTAGATGTTTATTTCTTGGATGAGTTTAAATCTGCAATAGATTATCGCTCAATAGCATGGGTATTAGATTTTATATGGGTAGCAGTAGAAGTAGCAATAAATATATATATTACTAAAAAAAAAATATTATTCTCTAAAATAATGAATGATGAAGAAAATAATCATATTGTTTTAAAGTAATCATATATTAAAAATTAATTACAAAAATAACTTACTTTTTAAACAAAATTAATATTAAATAGCTTTAATTTTATTTACTAATAATGCCTATATTTAGATTTGATATTTGTATTATAAATGAGCTGGAATCTGAAAAGCTCATCAGATAGGAATACGCGTTGAAAATTTTAGATTACAATGAAATTTATTATCTGCAGCTGGATCTCTTTATACAAATACTGTAAAATTAAACTATACAACGGCAATAGCACATTTTTTTGCCACTATAGCAGTTTATTTCCAATTAGAAGAAAATTAAATTATTGTAGTACTTTCAAAATTTCACATAATATTGATTAGTGCTCCTAACAGATCGGTTCAGACCGGATTTAGCTTAAATCTGATCCGATCTGATTTTTATTTTAATAGATCTGATCTGATCCGAATCTGATTAGATCTGGTTCAATTTGATCCGAATCTGGTTCGGATCCATTTGAATCCGATTTGAATCTGATCCGAATCTGGTTCGGATCTGGTCCTTGTACTAAAAAAAGGAAAGGGAACGTTAATTACGTTCCTTAAAGTAAAAAAAAATAAAAATAAAAATAAAAAAACGAACTTACCATAGTTCGTTCTTTTAAATCCTGGTCGTTCAGCTTCGTCT